GGGAGTGTGAGCCGAGTGCGACGGCGTGGAAATGAAAGCGTTAAAAAGAAACCAGCGTTATCACCTTGTAGCAGCCCGAGCCCCAGTCGGGGTACGTCATCTTCTTGGTGCACTGCTCCATCACGAACGCCGACTTCTGGTACAGACACACAGAGTCCGGACCGTACTGCTCCGCCCCGTAGTTCCTCCACCAGTCTGCACACAAAGTATTTTATTACTCATTAATCTTGTAAGAAGTAACATTCAGAAGCTGATTCACTAAAACTGGATTCAGAAGATAAAATCTTTCTTCAGTGAACATCCAGACAAAGATATGTGTGACTTCTGTCCGTCATTCATGTTGTTTAGTTTTTATTCATTGTTTGAAATGATATTTCAATATGTTACATGAACACTGATCGGCCTGTTGTTCATAGTGAATGTGATCGACACTGTGAGCGTCTTCCAGGAGAGTCACAAGAACACGAGCGCCGGCATTTAAACGATTATTGAGTCTCTCTGACAGCTGGAGGACGCGGTGCGAGCGGTGCGAGGGTCACCTGGCTGGTTCTCAGACACTCTGCAGTACGAGTTCCTCTGATATTCTCCACTGAGGTGCCAACTGAACTCCTGACTGAAGGGACAGTAATCGGCGATCTCAACGGCGCCGCCGAAGAACGACAGCTGGTCAGCCGCCACATCCGGGATCCTGTCAAAATACTGACACACACACACACACAAATATTAATCAGCAACAATCGAGTAATGATTTCAGTTATTTCCTCTGGACAAACATCTATCTCCTGCTGCTCTGCTCAATGTTGAGCTCACAGATCACATTTATCGACCTTTTTTAAAACGATATCTTCAGCGTTGGTCGAGCGGCACAGAGAGGGAGACAGCCGGTGAATCAGAGAAATAAACTTTATTTTCTGATCGAAATTCCAATTTTTATTTTACCCTATTTTGCCAACATCCCACTATAAGACAAAACAAGACTACGAACTATGTATGATTCTTAAAATACAGAATACAGAGAGAATTGTACAAAAAGTTCCTGAAAATATAAAGAAAACTCATCTCTGATCAATATTCACTGGATCCTAATTTTACACGAAGCTCCTGCAGTTATTGTTATTACTGAATATATGAAATATAATCAGGAGTCAGTTTACTCATTGATATAAAAGAGATCTCTTACGTTGGGAACCAGAGTGTGACACGTGTGAACACTGTTTATAGGTCGGGCCCCTGAACTCTGTATGAGGCTCTCAACCACCTCCAGAACCAGCGCCTGGGTCCGTACCTGGTACTCCAGCGGCAGCTCCTGCGGGTATTTCTGCAGGTTGCAGACGGCCACAGCCAGCTGGTCCTGTCTGCAGGTGAGCTGCAGAGGAGACGCTCGCACCGTGTCGCAGTACGGCGTCACAGCGTGTCGTCTGCAACCACAAACACAAGTTACTTAAAGTCAAGAATTTACAGTTTGTGAAAGACCAGTTGTTCTTCTTGTCCTTTTTTCTTATATATTCAGATTTTTTTCATATAACTATTCTAGTTTTTATTAAATGTGTATTTTCTTATCTGATGTCTTGTATCTGTATTTCTCCTCACATTCACACAGGACTGGAAACTATTCTTTAATTGTTATCATTATTCAGTTATGTTAGATTTATTTCTCTGTATGTATGGGTCATGTGGTTCTCTTTGCGTGCACAGTCTGTCTCTCGCCACCAGAGGACGCTGTTTACTGATAAAGACTGAGCTGTTTCAGAGTGCACGCAGAGGCTCTAGAGTTTGTTTTGTTTGAGGAAACTGTTCTGTTTCCACATGATGACATGATTTCTTTGGTTTCACGGTTTACAAATATTTCTCTAAAGAACAGAAACTGTTGAATGTGAGTCACAGTTGAACTCAGCGTCCCTTCACACAGTGAATTTCAGCTTCCTCCTTCTGGGCGGAGGTCTATAGTCCCAATATATGGAACAAAGCAGAATAACAACAGAAAGCAGCTGTGTCAACATATTAAGGTCCATATAAGTATTGAAGGACCGGATTGAGTCTGATCTTTAAGGCTACAAACAGTACACTATGTGACCTCTGCCTCTGTCTGTCCATCCAGAACTTGCAGCTCTTCAACACGAAGTCGCAGCCGAGTCCGCGGCCCCAGTCCAGCCTCTGGGCCAGGCTGTAGTTGGCCCGGTACCAGCCGCTGTCCTCCATGATGGCCAGCGTCAGCCGGGAAAACACCCGGTTCTGGGTGTGGGAGCCAGTCATCGCCTCGTTCTGAGGGAGGCAGATAGGAAACGGTGAAAACGCCAAACTGACGAACAAAACCTTCATTTCTCTTTGCAGCTTCCAGAGTCAGACAGAAGAGGCGTTGAGGTGGTTTACCTCCAGCAGTCTCTTCTCCCAGTGATTCAGCTCGGTTCCCGTCCCGCCCTGGTTCTCCAGCTCCATTCCCTCCAAGATGGGACAGTTGAAATGTCTCCGCGCCTCCTCCTGGAAACAAAGACGAGAGAGTCCACTGGGAGTTCAGTTCTGAGATTTACTAACTGGAGGAACAATATAACATCTTAAAGTGACTTCTTACCACGACGCGAGGTGTGACCAGAACGTGGACGTGGTGTCGGACCATCACTCCTCCTCTGATGTCCCACAGTCTGCTGACCCTCCTGATCACAGCGTCGCTCCACTGGTACAAACCCAGACTGACACACATCATACTTTATTGGAGGATTTTTACAGTCTGGAGCACGTTTCTCTGTCACGAGGAATGTCTTTTACTGCAAACCAAATCTACCTACAGGTACACATAAAGTAACCTTGAACCTTAAAATATAAAATACAAACAGAATCCTAAAAATAATCTGCATAAAAATCATTAAAACTGTTCATTTTCCACCAACTTCCTGCAGTTACTGTGTTCACTGTTTGGGTTCATGGTGCAGTGGATCAGCTGTTATTGTTATTATTGAATATAACATTAAATATCTTTAATATACAGTCAGGAAAAAGGCTGGAAGCACTGAGGTTGAACTCTACAGATGAATCAAACCATATAAACATACTTTAAAAGCCTCTGTACAGACACATGCTGCGTTTGAGACAAACTGTATTCACCTCTCGTTGAAGGCGGGCAGGCCGCTGGCGAAGCGAGGAGTCAGAGGTTTGCCGTCATCGTCGTGGTAGAAGGCAAACAGACCCGCTGAAAACCCCTGGTGGACAGAACAAAGGTCGGAGACGAAGCTATAATCAGTGAGGCCATAGATGTCTGTGACACACCAGAAGGAGACTGAGGAGATAAAAACTGTCTGTTTGTTCACTGACCAGAGCGTGAATGATCTCGTGTTTGACGGTCGACAGCATCCCTTCAAACTCCTGCGGCTGAGAGGAGATCATAGCAGGACACAGGTTGGCATAGCCTGCTATAGGTCTACAGGACAGACAGACAG